TAGGGTCTTTGGTGCTCTCTAGATTGGTGGCTTTCTTGCAGACATTTCATGACCCAAACTAGGCAACTGGACTAGCTAGCGCTGATGATGTTACCTACTGTGTTTCCCCGAAAATAAGACCGAGTCTTATTATTATTTTTTGCCTCCAAAAGAGGCACCAGGTCTTATTTTCAGGGTAGGCCTTACCTCACCTCCGACACCGACAGTCCCACCCAGCCGGTCCGCTTCTTCTGGGGCCAAAGTTCTGCAGCTGTATTCAGGCCTGCGTTTTGCAGTCAGGCCTTTCCAGAAGGCCTAAGCAGCCAAGTACTGAGCTATGGATTCAATCCATGGCTAGGTGCTCGGCTGCTGAGGTCTTGGGGAAGCGAGCTGGGGATTGAATCCATAGTTCCGTTCTCGGCTGCAGAGGCCTTCCGGAAAGCCCTGTGACTGAGAAATGCAGGCCTGGCTGCGGAAGAGGCCTCGGAAGAAGAAGTGGGCTGGCGAGGAGAGACCTGGCTGCGAGGTAAGTGGGTGCAGGGTGGGTGGGGCAGCCCCCCACTCCCATCCCCACCCTAGCTTGATTTTTAGGTGTATGCCTTGCCCCAAAACTAGGGTTTACTTTGTGGGTAGGGTTTATATTAGCCCCAAATCCAAACCAAGTCTGTAACAGTAGGCAAGAGGCATTTGTACCTTGTAAAAAGGCCTGTGTGTTGAGCATCACAACTTCATTGACACACTGTGCATATTCTGTGATCAGTCAACACTTTAATGCAGGGGTCCCCAACCTATGTTCTGCGGCCCGTCACCAGGCTGTGGCTCTTGGCCACTAAGCCCCAGGAATAGCTGGCGAACCACCCCAACTCATGGTAGCTCCGCCGCACGGGCGCTAGCAGCCCCATTTGTGCATGTGTGGGAACACTAACCCCACTGCTAGCATCACAGGCGCCAGCGGGCCATTTGTGCATGCACGCGGCTGCCAGTGGCTCACTTGCGCATGCACACGGGCGGCAGCACAGGAGCCATGGGTGCACATGAATTTCTTGTGCATGCACACGTGCACTAGCGCACCATCACGCACGTGCCCATTTGTGCATGTGCGCATGGCGCCGCGCACACGCTTATTTCACTGCAGCTCCCTTTCTTTCCAGGCCGTCAAGCCGGAACGTTTGGGGATCTCTGCTTTAATGGACAGCTCTGCACTTTCCTGCGCTTCCTATCTCTGACTTCTTCCTCTGCTTTCACTTATATTGATTTTTGCTAAAAGAGAACAAAAACCTACTTATCAATCCCAGGCCTGGAAGAAATCTTCCAAAAGAAAAATAAATAAAAATAAGCTCAATTTTAATTTTTTTTTTAAAATGCTTTTATCTGGAAGCTTTTAAGAAGAGGACAAGCCCTTTTCCTGGGGCAGCCCTTGAGATACTGGAAGACTGCTATCTAGAAGACATATCAGGAATAGATAGATAGATAGATAGATAGATAGATAGATAGATAGATAGATAGATAGATAGATAGATAGATAGATAGATGATAGATAGATAGATAGATAGATAGATAGATAGATAGATAGATAGATAGATAGATAGATATGGAGAGACATTTGGAATATTTTTGGTCACCACGATGTAAAAAAGATGCTGAGACTCTGGAAAGAGTGCAGAGAAGAGCAACAAAGATGATTAGGGGACTGGAGGGTAAAACATATAAGGAATGGCTGCTGGAATTGGGGAGGTCTAGTTTAACGAAGAGAAGGACGAGGGGGGACAGGATAGCAGTCTTCCAATATCTCAGGGGCTGCCCCAAAGAAGAGGGAGTCAAGCTATTCTCCAAGGCGCCTGAAGGCAGGACAAGAAGCAACGGATGGAAACTCATCAAGGAGAGAAGCAACCTAGAACTAAGGAAAAACTTCCTGACAGTTAGAACAATTAACCGGTGGAACAACCTGCCTCCAGAAGCGGTGAATGCTCCAACACTGGAAGGTTTTAGTCGTTTGTCCGAAATGGCCTAGGGTTTCCTGCTTGAGCAGGGGGTTGGACTAGATGACCTCCAAGGCCCCTTCCAACTTTATTATTATTATTATTACCTCCAAGGTCCCTTCCAAGTCTGTTATTCTAAATTTTTGGGGGGCAGAAAAAAAAAGAACAGACTCGGAATCTTATTTCTTTTTTTCTTCTTATTTCTTCTTCTTTTTAATCACTGTCAATTTATCCCGCAATCAAATGTTTCCCTTCAATCCAGTGGAACGGGGTACCTTAATTGGAATGCAGGCATGGTCCTCCTCCAGATCCTTCAGGCAGATTTCCAGGTGCAGCTCTCCAGCGCCAGCGATAATATGCTCCCCAGATTCCTCAATAATGCACTAGAGAACAGGAAAAAAAAAGGCTTGTGATAGGGATCCGGTCTGGTTTTAGGATAAAAGAAAATTCTGGAAGCGTTTATCAATCGTGCCAGGCAAATATCACTTATTTGTTTTGCAAACCATATTTCGGAGCGTACAGAAATTATCGTGAGATTAAATACTTAGATATTCTACATGCTTTATCCTTGAATTCATGCAATATGAAAAAGGTAAATCGTATCCGATTCTAAGGGGTGGTGCTCAGGACCAGAAGCAACGGATGGAAACTAATCAAGGAGAGAAGCAACCTGGAACTAAGGAAAAACTTCCTGACAGTGCGAACAATTGACCAGTGGAACAACCTGCCTCTAGAAGTTGTGAATGCTCCAACACTGGAAGTTTTTAAGAAGAAACTGGACAGCCATTTGTCTGAAATGGTCTAGGGTTTCCTGCCTGAGCAGGGGGTTAGACTAGATGACCTCCAAGGTCCCTTCCAACTTTATTATTATTATTATAATCATGTTTCTTAGCCTATGCCAGGGGTAGGGAACCTTGGCTCTTTTATAACCCGTGGACTTCAACTCCCAGAATTCCTGAGCCAGCATGAGGGAAACTTTGGCCCCTTCATGACTCGTGGACTTCAACTCCCAGAATTCCTGAGCCAGCCTGGCTCAGTTTGGAAACCTCTCCCTTTCCCCTCAGCATGGCTGGCTCGGGAATTCTGGGAGTTGAAATCCACGAGTCATAAAAGAGCCAGGGTTGCCTACCTCTGGCCTAGGCCGCTTTATGACTCGTGGACTTCAACTCCCAGAATTCCCGAGCCAGCCATGCTGAGGGGAAAGGGAGAGGTTTCCAAGCTGAGCCAGGCTGGCTCAGGAATTCTGGGAGTTGAAGTCCACGAGTCATGAGGGGGCCATAATTCCCCCATGCTGGCTCAGGAATTCTGGGAGCTGAAGTCCACGAGTCATGAGGGGGCCATAGTTCCCCCATGCTGGCTCAGGAATTCTGGGAGCTGAAGTCCACGAGTCATGAGGGGGCCATAATTCCCCCATGCTGGCTGAGGAATTCTGGGAGTTGAAGTCCATCAGTCATAAAAGGGCCAAGTTTGAAGACCCCTGGTTTAAATATTTAAATATTTTTCCTCATGGTCACATGATCAAAATTCAGGCATTTGGGCAGGGGTAGGCCACCTTGGCTCTTTTATGACTGGTGGACTTCAGCTCCCAGAATTCCTGAGCCAGCCATGCTGAGGGGAAAGGGAGAGGTTTCCAAGTGGTACCTATTTATCTACTTGCGTTTGCGGGCTTTCGAACGGCTAGGTGGCCTACCTGCAAAATGCTGGATGCTGACAAGACAAAAACTCTGCACCTTCCACAGGTAAGTGACATCAGTGGCTTTTGTATTCGTAATTAAATGTAAATAATGCCAATAACGACAGGAGTACAAGAATTGCACGCAAGGCCTTTTGAAAAGGTTGAAAGTGATTCACCTGGTGTTAAGAGCACACCGTAAAATTAATACGGGGATACTTCGGTCTTGATTTTATTTGCAATCAAACTGTCCCTGCTGGGAATCGGTTCATTCAAGGAATATGTTGTAACAGAAAAAAAAAAAGATAAAAGATAAAGGTCAGCCTTGGACTTTCCTGATTCTGAGTGGCCTAAAAGGACAATTACAGGCATATTGTTGTTATTATTATTATCAAATTTATTTGTCTCGCGGTTCAAGGCGACTCGTATTGGCACAAACGATGCAGTATTGTAGGCTGACTCTGTCCATAATCTGGAGTTCGATCCTGACCGGCTCAAGCCTTCCATATATATACCGAAGCAGGATATATGTCATGTGTCTGATTAACGAAACACTTAAAAGGACTTTCAGGCATATTTTCTCCTAAAAGCATTTATTAAGGTTACAGAGACGTCAGTACAGCATGGTGGAAATGCTTAGGTCTGGCTTCTCTTCCGTTACGCATATACATTCCAAGCATTTCCCACTCCCTTATTGTAGGGTCATGGTTCACATCTTCCAATCAACTTGGAAGATGTGATTTACTTCCGGTTTCTTTCTCCCAGGCTATCCTTATGCTCNTAGGGTCTTTGGTGCTCTCTAGATTGGTGGCTTTCTTGCAGACATTTCATGACCCAAACTAGGCAACTGGACTAGCTAGCGCTGATGATGTTACCTACTGTGTTTCCCCGAAAATAAGACCGAGTCTTATTATTATTTTTTGCCTCCAAAAGAGGCACCAGGTCTTATTTTCAGGGTAGGCCTTACCTCACCTCCGACATCGACAGCCCCACCCAGCCAGTCCACTTTTTCTTGGGCCAAAGTTCTGCAGCTGCATTCGGGCCTGCATTTTGCAGTCAGGCCTTTCCAGAAGGCCTAAGCAGCCAAGTACCGAGCTATGGATTCAATCCATAGCTTGGTGCTCGGCTGCTGATGTCTTGGGGAAGCGAGCTGGGGATTGAATCCATAGTTCCATTCTCGGCTGCAGAGGCCTTCCGGAAAGCCCTGTGACTGAGAAATGCAGGCCTGGCTGCGGAAGAGGCCTCAGAAGAAGAAGTGGGCTGGCGAGGAGAGGCCTGGCTGCGAGGTAAGTGGGTGCAGGGCGGGTGGGGCAGCCCCACACTCCCATCCCCGCCCTAGCTTGATTTTTAGGTGTATGCCTCGCCCCAAAACTAGGGTTTACTTTGTGGGTAGGGTTTATATTAGCCCCACCCCCAAACCAAGTCTGCAACAGTAGGCAAGAGGCATTTGTACCTTGTAAAAAGGCCTGTGTGTTGAGCATGACAACTTCATCGACACACTGTGCATATTCTGTGATCAGTCAACACTTTAATGCAGGGGTTCTGCGTCCCGTCAGCGGGCCGTGGCTCTTGGCCACCAGGCCCCGGGAATAGCTGGCGAACCACCCCAACTCATGGTAGGACCGCCGCACGGGCGCTATGAGCCCCATTTGTGCATGCGTGGGAACACTAACCCCACCGCCAGCATCACGCAGGTGCCTGCGGGCCATTTGTGCATGCACGCGGCCACCAGCGGCTCACTTGCGCATGCACACAGGCGGCAGCACAGGAGCCATGGGTGCACGAGTTTCTTGTGCGTGCACACGTGCACTACCGCACCATCACCATGCGCATGGCGTCGCGCACACGCATATTTCATTGCAGCGCCCTTTCTTTCCAGGCCGTCAAGCCAGAACGTTTGCTTTAATGGACAGCTCTGCACTTTGCTGCACTTCCTATCTCTGACTTCTTCCTCTGCTTTCGCTTATATTGATTTTTGCTAAAAGAGAACAAAAACCTACTTATCAATCCCAGGCCTGGAAGAAATCTTCCAAAAGAAAAAAAAAATAGAAATAAGATCCATTTTAATAATTTTTTTTTTAAAAAAAATTGCTTTTATCTAGAGGCTTTCAAGAAGAGAATGGACAAGCTGGAATTGGGTGTGTCCAGTTTAAGGAAGAGAAGGATGAGGGGGGACAGGATAGCCGTGCTCCAGTATCTCAGGGGCTGCCCCAAAGAAGAGGGAGTCAAGCTATTCTCCAAAGCGCCTGAAGGCAGGACAAGAAGCAACGGAGGGAAACTAATCAAGGAGAGAAGCAACCTGGAACTAAGGAGAAACTTCCTGACAGTGAGAACAATTAACCAGTGGAACTACCTGCCTCCAGAAGTGGTGAGTGCGCCAACACTGGAAGTGTTTAAGAAGAGATTGGACAGCCATACTAAATGACCTCCAAGATCCCTTCCAACTATATTATTATTATTACCTCCAAGGTCGCTTCCAAGTCTGTTATTCTAAATTTTGGGGGGGGCAGAAAAAAAAACCAGACTCGGAATCTTCTTTCTTTCTTTTTTCTTATTTCTTCTTTTTTTTAATCACTGTCAATTTATCCCGCAGTCAAACGTTTCCCTTCAATCCAGTGGAATGGAGTACCTTAATTGGAATGCAGGCATGGTCCTCCTCCAGATCCTTCAGGCAGATTTCCAGGTGCAGCTCTCCAGCTCCAGCGATAATGTGCTCCCCAGATTCCTCAATAATGCACTAGAGAACAGGAAAAAAAAGGCTTGTGATAGGGATCCGGTCTGGTTTCAGGATAAAAGAAAATTCTGGAAGCGTTTATCAATCATACCAGGCAAATAGCACGTATTTTTTTTGCAAAACCGTATTTCGGAGCGTACAGAAATTATCGTGAGATTAAATACTTAGATATTCTACATGCTTTATCCTTGAATTCATGCAATATGAAAAAGGTAAATCGTATCCGATTCTAAGGGGTGGTGCTCAGGACCAGAAGCAACGGGTGGAAACTAATCAAGGAGAGAAGCAACCTGGAACTAAGGAAAAACTTCCTGACAGTGAGAACAATTAACCAGTGGAACTACCTGCCTCCAGAAGAGGTGAATGCTCCAACACTGGAAGTTTTTAAGAAAAGACTGGACAGCCATTTGTCTGAAATGGTATAGGGCTTCCTGCCTGAGCAGGGGGTTGGACTCGATGACCTCCAAGGTCCCTTCCAACTTTTTTTTTTTTTTTTTTTTTTTTTTTTTTTTTTTTTTTTTTTTTTTTTTTTTTTTTTTTTTTTTTTTTTTTTTTTTTTTTATTATTATTATTATTATTATTATTATTATTATTATTATTATTATTATTATCATCATCATCATCATGTTTCTTAGCCTATGCCAGGGGTAGGGAACCTTGGCTCTTTTATAACCCGTGGACTTCAACTCCCAGAATCCCTGAGCCAGCATGGCTCAGCTTGGAAACCTCTCCCTTTCCCCTCAGTGTGGCTGGCTCAGGAATTCTGGGAGTTGAAATCCACGAGTCATAAAAGAGCCAGGGTTGCCTACCTCTGGCCTAGGCCGCTTTATGACTCGTGGACTTCAACTCCCAGAATTCCTCAGCCAGCCATGCTGAGGGGAAAGGGAGAGGTTTCCAAGTGGTACCTATTTATCTATTTGCGTTTGCGAGCTTTCGAACGGCTAGGTGGCCTACCTGCAAAATGCTGGATGCTGACAAGACAAAAACTCTGCACCTTCCACAGGTAAGTGACATCAGTGGCTTTTGTATTCGTAATTAAATTTAAATAATGCCAATAACGACAGGAGTACAAGAATTGCACGCAAGGCCTTTTGAAAAGGTTGAAAGTGATTCACCTGGTGTTAAGAGCACACCGTAAAATTAATACGGGGATACTTCGGTCTTGATTTTATTTGCAATCAAACTGTCCCTGCTGGGAATCGGTTCATTCAAGGAATATGTTGTAACAGAAAAAAAAAAAGATAAAAGATAAAGGTCAGCCTTGGACTTTCCTGATTCTGAGTGGCCTAAAAGGACAATTACAGGCATGTTGTTGTTATTATTATTATCAAATTTATTTGTCTCGCGGTTCAAGGCGACTCGTATTGGCACAAACGATGCAGTATTGTAGGCTGACTCTGTCCATAATCTGGAGTTCGATCCTGACCGGCTCAAGCCTTCCATATATATACCGAAGCAGGATATATGTCATGTGTCTGATTAACGAAACACTTAAAAGGACTTTCAGGCATATTTTCTCCTAAAAGCATTTATTAAGGTTACAGAGACGTCAGTACAGCATGGTGGAAAATGCTTAGGTCTGGCTTCTCTTCCGTTACGCATATACATTCCAAGCATTTCCCACTCCCTTATTGTAGGGTCATGGTTCACATCTTCCAATCAACTTGGAAGATGTGATTTACTTCCGGTTTCTTTCTCCCAGGCTATCCTTATGCTCCTCCCTCTTTCCCAGTTGCTGGTTTAACTATATAAATACCAGACAGTTCTGCACATTGTCAAAGCAAGAATATACAGTATTTGAAGCGTTGGCAGTTAGCAGTCAGTTGGCAGTTGGCAGTCTTAAGTGCTATTGCTGCATGTACAGTTAATCTTCCACTTAGGATTGCAACAGAGCCTGCCCATCACTGTCGTAAGCAGGTCACCCATGTCCCTAACCGGGTTTTACTACCTTTATTGCTGCTGCATTAAGCATGTGATGCAGTCATCAAGGGAACCCACGATTCGCCATGGACTGGTTTTGTTGAAAACCAGGAGTAAATGCCGTTTTTGGCAAAACCATGGCGAAACATATTAGCGTGACGGTGGGATGCTACAAATGGCTGTAAATGAGGTCTGTTGAACCCTGGATTGGTAAGTAACTGGTCATAAGTTGGGGACTACCTGTACTCCCAAGTTTATGGTTTTATCTTTCTCTTTCTGTCTCTTTCTTTCTTTTTCTTTCTTCCTCTTTTCTTTCTTTCTTTCTTTCTTTCTTAGCTTCCTTCACTCCTTCCCTCTTTCTTTCTCGCCCTCTTTCTTTCTTCTATTATTACCACTAATTATATTCTACCCATCCAATGAATATCACAGTGTTGTTTTGGCTGTGACAGGCTTTCTATTTTCAGATGACTCTACATGGATAGCTGATGAGAGCTAAATAGCTCAAAATAGCTATACTAGTCTCATTCCTTTCATTCTTGGTCGGTAAATTTAAATTGAACAGGTGATTCTATTATTTTTGTCTGCGTATTTTAAGGCCCGGAGATTTTGAACGAGATTTCAAGCTAGCCAAGGACTGATTGCATTGAGCAGCATGCTTGCAAGTGCAAACAGGAAAACAATTTGAGGTGAACTCTCTGTCTCTCTTTTTTTAAAAAAATAAAATAAAATAAAGCTACACTTGCAAACCAGTTATTCCAAGTCACAAAGCACAGCTACGCACTCACCTGGACCATGGGGTCAGACTTGGCAAGACGCTTTAGACCCTCCACTAGCTTTGGTAGATCGGCGGGGTTTTTGGCTTCCACCGCAACGCGCACCACCGGGCTGACGCTAAATTTCATCACTCTCATGTTGTGTGCGTGTTCGAAGGTGGTAATGGTGCCCGTCTTCACCAAAAACTGATCGACACCAACCAGGCCAACAATGTTGCCACAAGGGACATCCTCAATGGGCTCGACGTAACGACCCATCATTAAAATGGTTCTACAAAGACAGAGGATGGATGGGGTAACAAGACCTATTTTATTATTGGGGATTTTAAAAAAAAAAAAAAACAACCCAAACCTTTTAGAAAGAATGTACTCTCTATCGTTGCCTTTTTATTCTTTTTTTTTTGAATTACATGATGAAATTTCAACTGGAGGTGCCTAAAGAAATTGGAACAGGGTTTTCCTCCTAGCAACCGTCCATTCCCTCTCCAAAAAAAGTGCATTTCCAAGAGGCCACTGGACTTTCTTGGTCAGAGCGTGCAGTCTTATTGCGCTAAGATAACAGTAAACAGTGGTCTGTATTAAATGGTGGTTTATCTTACACTATCTACAATATCATACGCCAGGGACAATATACATACACATGGTAATACAGCAGTTACAACAGGAAACGGATGAGAGAGAAAGAGAGAGAGACACTCCAGCAAAAGCCTTCCCTTTTATACTCAGGCTCTTAAAGGGATACAGACCCTGCTTGCTCCTAAAGAGACACAGACCCTGCTGAGTCATTCCCATCATTGCATCATCCACCTTATATTACATTACATCATTACATCTTATATCATTACGTAAGCTGTTTAGCTGTTAAATTATTACCTTGACATTCTTTGTTCTTCCTTAGAAGACGTTTCGCTTCTCAATCAAGAAGCTTCCTCACTTCCGACAAAGCGAAGAAGCTTCTTGGATGGGAAGTGAAACGTCTTCAAAGAATAACCAGGAAGTCCAGTGGCCTCTTGAAAAAAGCACTTTGGGGACAATAACCAGGACGGCGATGACGGAGAGTCTCCATAGACAACTTCCATTCCCTAGGCCCCCTAAATACAAAACTTATTTAGCTCTGGCGAAGAGTTACAAATTGTCACACAGGCTGGAGAAAGAGGGTTGCAATCCCAAGTCAGGCTGGTGACTTTTCTATGCTCAAACACAACCCGGCCTTCATGCAGCGATCTAAGAGGGTCCCAGCTTGCTAAGGTTTCTCCTAAACACAAACCATCATTCTGCCCTATCGGAGCTGCCAGTGGAAGCTTTAAGGCATCTTATTTGTGACTGGGGGAGGAAGGGCAGAACCCACCCACCCCACTTCTTGCAGAATGCTTTGCAGCCCTTTCTGTCTCGCCAAACAGGACTCCGGGCTTCGGGAGCCTGCCCCCCAATTTAGCGAAAAGGAGGGAAGCCCTGATCAGCTACCTTTGAATGGGCTTCAGGTAGAGGTCCTCCTTCTTTCCCGGGGTGTAGTTGGGCCCCATGATCCGCACCTTCTGGCCGGTGCACACCATGCCAGAGAAAACCCTCCCGAAGGCGTAGAAGCGGCCTTTGTCCGACGTGGGCACCATTTTTGAGATGTACATCATCAGAGGGGCCTTTGGGTCACAGTTCTTAACCCCTGCAGCGAAAGGAAGGGCAAAGAGTGAGGTCCACGGCGAGTCCCTAAGCTGAGTCAAACGTCGGCTGCTGGGCCTTTTGCTGGCATACAGGTACCGCGTTTCCCCGAAAGGAAGGCCTACACCAGGGGTCTTCAAACTTGGCTATGTTTGCTAGGTTCCAAATGATTAGCAAAATCAAACCTCTGCATCTTGAAGTAAGAATGATTGTTTTGTGTTGCTGTCGCTTGTCTTTTTCAGTGGGTTTTTCCATCACACCAGAGAGAAATATCTGTCTCTACCCAAGATCAAACCCACCGCCTCCTGATTGTGAATGCTCTTCTTTCTAAAAGGCCAAAAAGGCCAACACAGTGCTGGGCTGCATTAACAGAGGGATAGAATCAAGATTATGTGAAGTGTTAATACCACTTTACAAGGCCTTAGTAAGGCCACACTTGGAATACTGCATCCAGTTTTGGTCACCACGATGTAAAAAAGATGTTGAGACTCTAGAAAGAGTACAGAGAAGAGCAACAAATGTGATCAGGGGACTGGAGGCTAAAACATATAAGGAAAGGCTGCTGGAATTGGGGATGTCTAGTTTAAGGAAGAGAAGGACGAGGGGGGACATGATAGCAGTCTTCCAGTATCTCAGGGGCTGCCCCAAAGAAGAGGGAGTCAAGCTATTCTCCAAGGCGCCTGAAGGCAGGAGAAGAAGCAACGGAGGGAAACTCATCAAGGAGAGAAGCAACCTGGAACTAAGGAGAAACTTCCTGACAGTGAGAACAATTAACCAGTGGAACAACCTGCCTCCAGAAGCGGTGAATGCTCCAACACTGGAAGTGTTTAAGAAGAGACTGGACAGCCATTTGTCTGAAATGGTGTAGGGTTTCCTGCCTGAGCAGGGGGTTGGACTAGATGACCTCCAAGGTACCTTCCAACTTTATTATTATTATTATTATTAGGCCATCATCCTGCTCCCCTTCCTTTACATATGCCACAGATAGAAGGGGTGGAGAGCAACTGCCACCACCATTTTGACTTTTTTTTTTCTTTTTGACCTCCACGCAGATGCTCCTGAGAAAGGCTCCATAAGACACAGGCACCTCACTCTCCTCTTTAAACCGAAGCTCTGTGCTACAGGTGGGGCTAGTTTTAAGAGATTCGGAGACATCGGTTTGTCCAAAATAACAGAGTAAGACGGGATAGTTTGGTTCCAAATGGCTCATCTTGGTTCAACCGCCTCATTTATAAGGCTGATTTGAAACATTTCTTTTAACCAAATGGCTCTTGATGGTTTTGAACCAGGTTACCCAAAGCAGGGTCTTCCCCCAAGCCAGAGGTCTTCAAACATGGCCCTTTTATGACTTGTGGCCTTCAACTCCCAGAATTCCTCAGCCAGGCACGCTGGCTGAGGAATTCTGGGAGTTGAAGGCCACCAGTCATAAAAGGGCCATGTTTGAAGACCCCTGGCCTACACCAACAATAAGCCCTAGCTTGATTTTGGGGGGTGGGCCTAATATAAACCCTATCCCCAAAATATGCCCTAGTTTTGGGGCGAGGCGCACAGCTAAAAATCAAGCTGGGATGGGGGTCTGGAGTTGCCCCACCTACCCTGTACCCACGCACCTGGTAGCCAGGCCTCTCCTCGCCGGCCCACTTCTTCTGCAGCCAGGCCTGCATTTCTCAGTCACAAGCCTTTCTGGAAGGCCACTACAGCCGAGAACCGAGCTATGGATTCAATCCGTAGCTCGGTTCTACAAGACCTCTGCAGCCGAGCAACAATCCATAGCTCGGTGCTCAGCTGCTTAGTCCTTCTGGAAAGGCCAGGCTGCAAAATGCAGACCCGAATGCAGCTGCAGAACTATGGCCCCAGAAGAAGCGGACCGGCTGGGTGGGGCTGTCGGTGTCAGAGGTGAGGTAAGGCCTACCCTGAAAATAAGACCTGGTGCCTCTTTTGGAGGCAAATAATAATAATAAGACTCGGTCTTATTTTCGGGGGAACACAATAGTCCTTACAAGCGTTTGTTTAGTAGCCGAGGCTACAACAGCACTGAGGAAAAAAAACGGCCGATGGCCGTTTTTCGCACAGCATCCCCATGGTCACGTGATTAGAATTTGGAGGCTTGGCAACTGGCAGGTGTTTATGACGGTTGCAATGCGAACTCCTGAGGGTCATGCGATCGCCTTTTGCGACTTTCCGACAACCAAAGTTCACGGGGAAGGCAGATTCGCTTAACAACTCGTGTTCCTAACTTAACAACCTGCAGGGATCCACTTAACCATTGTTGGAACGGTTGTAAAATGGGGCAAAACTCATTTAACAGCTGTCTCTCTTAGAACAGAAATCTGGGGTTCAGCTGTGGAACTAGCTGAATTTCTTGGGTCGAGCCTTTGAGGTAGTTCCAGATCAGGAAACTGACACCGCACAGATTCCAGGAGTGCCAATTTATTGTTGTAGGATATAACAACAGGATCAAAACAGCCTCCTAGCGTTTCCTCCCCTGCCGTGATCATAACCCCAGAATTGAGGTGGCCTTATTCTGAATTTCGTTCTCACGCCTTCTCCTTGTGTCTCTTCCGTTTTCCTCCATGCCTTTTGCTCACCTTCATCAAGATTCTCTCTCTATTCCTCTACAAATAGATAGGAATATAATTCACTTTCTTCGGTGGAGTGCTTGCTGGCCTCTGACCTTGGCGGTTTTCTTGCAGACTTCCATGACCCATGTAGGTGACATCTTCAGTGATGTGACCTAGTTGGGTCATGAAACAGCTGCAAGAAAACCACCCAGCTCAGCAGCCACAGAGCCCTACCCTGCAACTCTAGAGCTACAAATATTCTCTTTTACTGGCGTCACGTGCGGGTTTTTTGATACACAGATTTATCTGGTCCCATGAAAAGGTCTAAATCGAAGACTCAGTAGGTTGGGTGGCTTCCTACTCATACAAAGAATCATGATGGTTTAACCAAGAACCTCTGAGAGTACCAAATCCAAGGTACTCTCAACATCGTACCTGTTGGCAGATCTTCCACTTCACACTGACTCTGGGTTAAGAGGTATAAGCGCCATGCAACTACTGAAAGGCGTGTCATTTTAGGAGACGACCAGGCTGAGCCCGAGGGAGAGGTCAAACGTGTCATCGGTCTCGAGTCCCTTTCAGCCCACCTTGAATTCCACTGACTCTTTATCTGCTGCCAATTCGTCTCGACTGTTAGTAGTTCAGATTCTTATAGAGAGCTTTTACAGCAGGGGTCCCCAACCCCCAGTCTGTGGACCGGTAGCGGGCCGCGGTATGCCAGCAACCGGTCCGCACAAGCCCCATCCACGGGATGCGGGCAGCACACGAAACCACACACTCTCCGGTCCGTGGGAAAACCTCTCTCCACGGAACTGGTCCCTGGTGCCCAAAAGGTTGGGGACCTTTGGACTAGAGCCATCTATAACAGGGGTCCCCAACCCCCAGTCCGTGGACCAATACCGGGCCGTGGCATGCCAGCAACCGATCCGCACAAACAAGCAAAGCCCCATCCGCGGGATGCGGGCAGCACACAAAACCACGCACTCTCCGGTCCGTGGGGAAACCTCTCTCCACGGAACCGGACCCTGGCGCCCAAAAGATTGGGGACCCCTGCTTTAGAGTACCGTAAACCTATATATTCATTTGAACGGCCTGGACTGCTGATTCCCTGTGCTTGACGTGACGTGGGAAGAGTGACAACGGAGAGGCAGGCTTGGCTCAACCTGCTGCAGGTCCTCCCCTTACCCATGGCCGCTTCATCGTCAGGTGGACCCTCGTACAGAAGCTCACAGCGGTACTTCTGAGCAGTGACCGGGGAAGGCAGATGGATGGTGATCATCTGAAGCAAGGCCTCTCCAGCAGGTAACCAGCGACGCATCACAGCCTGGAAAAACAGGTGCAGAGAAGCCCTGAAGAAATGCTACCTGAGCCACTGGTCAGTACTGATCTTCCTAACAGGGAGGACAATTAACCAGTGGAGCAGAAGTTGCCTCCGGAAATTGTGGGCTGGACTAGAAGACCTCCAAGGTCCTTTGTGGATTCTATTCTATTCTAACGTCCTAACAGGGAGGACAATTAACCAGTGGAACAGCTTGCCTCCAGAAATTGTGGGCAGTTCATCACTGGAGATTTTTAAGAAGAGATGGACAGTCACCTGTCTGAGATGGTGTAGGTTCTCCTACTTGAGCAGGGGGCTGGACTAGAAGACCTCCAAGGTCCCTTTCAGCTATTATTTTCTATTTTAAGAAGAGACAAGACAGTCTGAGATGGTATAGACCAGGAGTAGGCAACCTTGGCTCTTTTATGACTCGTGGACTTCAACTCCCAGAATTCCTGAGCCAGCATGGGGGAACCATGGCCCCCTTGATGACTCGTGGACTTCAACTCCCAGAATTCCTGAGCCAGCACGGCTCAGCTTGGAAACCTCTCCCTTTCCCCACAGCGTGAATGGCTCAGGAATTCTGGGAGTTGAAGTCCACGAGTCATAAAAGAGCCAAGGTTGCCTACCCCTGGTATAGGAGGCTGGACTAGAAGACCTCCAAGGTCCCTCCCAGCTCTATTCTATTCACTACCATAGCTTCCTTATCTGACCTCTTGGAAAAGGTAACAAAACCATGGGGCACCTCCCATTCTTTCAAAATGCAGGGCGGTTTTGCCTAAGGTTCCTGTGAAGCCGCGGAGCGTTCCTTGCTTCGGCCTATCAGGACAAGGTGACCCCCAGCCTTGCTACCTTGGTCCGCGCCTGCAGCTCTCAGTGCACGCTACGGCCGTAGCACTGTTGCGCTAAAAAGGACACAGGCACACCTACACACACGATTTCAAAAAACCTTGAGAAGCGGCTTTCCTTCTTTCTCTCGATCTTCGGCGTCCAGCTTGATGTCCAGTTTTTCTATCAACTTGGACGTTTCTTCTTTCTTGAAGTTCATGATGGCATCGAAGACCTGCAGGAGAAAAAAAAGGAAATTAAATGTCATCCTCGCTCTGCTAGTAAGACCTGATATTTGAAAAATAAACCCATCTAAGAGTTTCCTCTGGGTCTACAATATAGCATCCTCTAATTTGGCAGTTACCTACCCAATTCTTACAAGCATTTTTCGTATGTTTTAGCCTCCAGTCCCCTAATCATCTTTGTTGCTCTTCTCTGTACTCTTTCTAGAGTCTCAAACTCTTTTTTATATAGTGGCAAGAAAAGCAAGATCATGGCATCCGGCCCTCTCAATTCCTGGCCAATAGATGGGGAAGAAATGGAGGTAGTGACAGATTTTATCTTCCTGGGCTCCAAGATCACCACAGATGGGGACTGCAGCCAAGAAATTAAAAAGACGCTTGCTCCTGGGGAGGAAAGCTATGGCAAATCTAGACAGCATACTAAAAAGCAGAGACATCACCCTGCCAACAAAAGTGCACATAGTCAAGGCCATGGTTTTCCCAGTGGCAATGTGTGGCTGTGAAAGTTGGACCATAAGAAAGGCTGAGCGCCAAAGAATGGAGGCCTTTGAACTCTGGTGCTGGAGAAGACTCCTGCGAGTCCCTTGGACTGCAAGGCGATCCAACCGGTCAGTCCTAGAAGAGATCAACCCCGACTGCTCTTTAGAAGGCCAGATCCTGAAGTTGAAACTCAAGGACTTTGGCCACCTAATGAGAAGGAAGGACTCCCTGGAGAAGAGCCTGATGCCGGGAAAGATGGAGGGCAAGAGAAGAAGGGGACGACAGAGAAGGAGGGGGCTGGATGGAGTCACTGAAGCAGGAGGCGTGAGCTTCAATGGACTCCAGAAGATGGTAGAGGACAGGAAGGCCTGGAGGAACGTTGTCCATGGGGTCGCGATGGGTCGGACACGACTTCGCAACTAACAACAACAAGGCACCATATAAATACAACACGTAAAACAGCCCAGTACATATTTTCTGAAACAGGGTATAACATTCATTTAAATCCAAGGACACTGCACCAGGAAGATACTTCTAAAGAGGAGACCACTCATTTATGAATTCCCATATGGAGATGTTTCATTCTTAAGTGTTTTGCCAATGAGAAGTTCTCGGAAACGTGAACCTTGTGGGCGACTGCCTGAATGTGAAAGTGTGAATTCTGAAAAGCAGGTAACTAGCATTCAATGTTACAGGCGTTAATACGTGTTTCGGTGAATCCCAGCGTTACCTTAAAAATGGGATCCAGGATAAGTTGGCAGAAAGTCCGTGGCAACTTCTTCCCATCGGGGCCGGCTGCGGATTTGCTGAATTTCCCTGTCGCCGGGTCAAAATACCTAAGTGAAAATTGAAATTATTTTACGTCCAGGAGCTAAAGGAGAGAGAAAGAAACAAGCCTTGATGACCCTTCCTCTCAATGATTATGATGAATGCCAATCAGTCCGGCACCGCAGGACCGCACAGCTCTCCGTTCTGCCTCCGTGTTCAAGACACAAAGAAAACTGATTGTTGTTATTATTATGGTTTATTGCACAGTCAGCCAGATGCTCAGACTGGATTTGGCATGTCTGGTCTACCTATCGCAGTGATGGCGAACCTTTTAGAGACCCCGTGCCCAAACTGCAACCCAAAACCAACTTATTTTTCACCAGGTGCCGGGTGGGCGTGGCCGCAGTGGTCATGGCAGGCCGGTGGGTGGGGCCAGGGTGGCGGGGGCCAGTCCCTCGCCATCTCCAGGGCATGGCACGGGTGCCCACAGAAAGGGCTCTGAGTGCCGCCTCTGGCACGCGTGCCATAGGTTTGCCACCATTGACCTATTGAGTCCTTCCCAAGGACCTGGAAGATGTGGATGTTTGATGGTGCTACAGATCTCGTCGCAGGATGGAAGCTGTTCCAAGTCAAGCTGCCTTTTGCAATTGACTGATGGCGAATGTGTCAATGCCAATGATGGTGTCCAAGTGGTGCTCCAGTTGTTTTTGGGATTGCACCCGAGGCGCCTATAACTATTGGTGCTACCCTTGCTTGCTTTTGCCACAGTCTTTCTATTTCTATTTGTAGGTCTTTGCATTTTGTTATCGTCTCCAGTTCTTTCTCTTCCCACCTGCTTTACAGGTAGTCCCCATTTAGTGACAGTTCGAAATTACAACAGCACTGAAAAGGGACATGACCGTTTTTCACACTTATGGATAGAACAGAGCTGGAAGGGACCTTGGAGGTCTTCTAGTCCAGCCCCCTGCTCAAGCAGCAGAACCTATACCATCTCAGACAGGTGACTGTCCAGTCTCTTCTTAAAAACCTCCAGGGATGGAGCACCCACGATTTCTGGTGGCCAGCTGTTCCACTGGTTGATTGTCCTCCCTGTTAGGAAGTTTCTCCTTAATTCCAGGTTGCTTCTCTCTTTGGTCAGTTTCCATCCATTGTTTCTTGTCCTTCCCTCTGGTGCTTTGGAGAATAGCTTGGCCCCCTCCTCTTTTTTGTGGCAGCCCCTCAGATACTAAAACACTGCTATCCTGTCTCCCCTATTTCTTCTTTTCTTTAGACCAGCCAAACCCAAGTCCAGCAGCCTTTCTTCGAATGTTTTGGCCTCCAGGCCTTGGATCATCTTAGTTGCTCTTCTCTGAATTTTTTCCAAACTCTCAACATCTTTTTTGTGATACGGTGACCAAAATTGGCTGCAGTATTCCAGGTGTGGCCTCACTAGGGCTTTATAAAGCGGCACTAATACTTTTGTGTGATCTTGATTCCACGACCGCTGAATCTTCCCTGCACGTGATCAAAATTCAGACGCTTGACAACTGAATCATATTTATGACCGTTGCAAGCAGAGTCAACGGGGGGACGCCAGATTCCCACCTTAACAATGGCAACGATTCATTTGACAGCTGCGGCAAGAAAAGTCGCAAAACGGGGCAAAACCCCCTCGACAAATGTTTCGCTTAGCAACTATAAATTCTGGGCTCACTTGCAGTTGTCAAGTTGAAGACTACCTGTGTTATCTCACCCTGGGGCTACTGTAGGTAGCGTACACTAATAACAACAACAACAAAAAGTACTTTATCACAGACAGATAGATGCCATTTCTTCTTAGACCCGTCCTGGATTATCTTGCTTTTCACAAAAGCTGCACCCCAAAGGGGTGTCAAACTCAATTTCATTGAGGGCCGCATCAGCATTGCGGTTGCCCTCGGGGGGGTGGCCAGCGTGGGTGCGGCCTACTGGGTGGGCGTGGATGGAGTGGGTGTGGCCTATTGAGTGGGCATGGCCAGCTCTACATCGTTCGCGTCAAGGGTGCCTGTGGGGGCCTGGGCAGGAGTGGGTCTCTGGCAGAAGGGGGTGGGACCGGGGCAAGTGCCAAGGCTTGGTCCACTGGAGGAGCCTCACTGCCTGCTGAAACCCCTCCGCCGGAGCCCATCAAGCCAGATATGTGAAGTAGGCCAGAGCCTACAGATGGTGCATTTCTTCATTCCTCACAAAGGGTGACACCTCCCCAGGGGGTGGATCGATGCAGCAGGGGCTGGTTCCTCGCTGTTTCCAGACGGTCTTGTGGAGCTAAGACTGAATGTGTTTCAGCATAGATGGCCATTACAAAATTGTACATTGGCTCCCGGCCGGCCAGGGCCAAGGCAGCAGGGGCCGTTCCCTCACTGTTTCCAGGATGGCTTCGCGGGCCTCATGAAACCACTTCGCGGGCCGCATCCGGCCCCCGGGCCTTGTGTTTGACATGTCTGCCCTAAAGGGTCTCCACCTGAGAGCGAAGGTCAAGGCGCTCTTACTCACTTGTCTCCCCACAGCTTCTTCATCATGTCCTCCACTTTCTTGGCCCGCTCGGCCGTAGAGAGCTGGGCCTTCTCTCCCCTGGCTGCGAATTTGGCCACGTACATCTCGGCAAACTGCTTCAAGGTGAAGGCCCACCCGTGTAAGCCCGACCCAAAGCCAACGGTACCGATGACCGGATCAATCTGGAAACCAAGAAAGAGGATCCGGGCGTCTTTAAAAGGACACGCACAAGGCGGTCTACTTGGGAGATCCAATCCCTCCGTTCAAACCGATCCCCAGATCCCAAAAGTCACAAAGACCCACCCATTCAATGGCACTTACCCTGCGGCCCTTAATTGGTTGCCCCCCCACACCCAAAACAGGAGAATTATAAATGGAAGGAAGGAAGGAAGGAGAGCATGGATGGAAGGGAGGGGGAAAAGAAGGAAGGAAGGAAGGAAGGAAGGAAGGAGAGCATGGATGGAAGGGAGGAAGGAAGGAAAGAAAAGGTTAGAAAGAGGGAGGGAAAAGGCAGAGGAACACAAGAAGGAAGGAAAGAATGAAGGAAGGAGAGCATGGATGGGAGGAAGGAAGGAAGGAAAGAAGGAAGGAAGTAAAGGAGAGGAAAAGAAGGAGAGGGAGGAGAGCATGGATGGAAGGGAGAGAGGAAGGAA